GCATCAAAAGAAGATGGAAGGAATGCACAGAGTCACTGCACCAAAAAGAAATGGTCGCATTAAAAAAAAAGAGAAATGGTCGATGTTCAATCATTACAAGAGGTAGCATATGATTAATAGCCAATGATCCTGAAGGAAGAAGGTGAGTTGAGGCACTGGCAAAGAACAAGGCACCGGGAATTGATGGAATACAAATTGAAATCTTTCAACAAACTGATGAGGCACTGCAGGCCCATTCCAAAGAGAGGTGACCTAACAGAATGTGGAAATTTTCATACAATATCATTGATATCCCATGTGTTTACTAAAGATAATACAAAAATGGCTGCAACCATATATTGACAGAGAACTTTCAGAGTTTCAAGCTAGATTCAGAAGAGGATGTGGAACAAGAGATATGATTGCTGACGTCAGATGAATCTTGGCTGAAAGTAGAGAATATTAGAAAGATGTTTACCTGTGCTTTATTGACTATGCAAAGTCTTTTAATTATGTGGCTCATGACAAGCTATGGCCATATACATTGTGAAGTATGAGTATTCCAGAACACTTAATTGTGCTCATGAGGAACCTGTACATAGATCAAGAAACAGTTGTTGGAACAGAACAAGGGAACACCGAATGGTTTGAAATTAGGAAAGGTGTGCACCGGGGTTGTATTTTTTTTTTCACTATACTTATTCAATCTGTATGCTGAGCAAATAATCCAAGAAGCTGAATTATATGAAGAAAAACATGGCATCAGGATTGGAGGAAGACTCATTAACAACCTGTGATATGCAGATGATATACAACCTTGCTTGCTGAAAGCAAAGAGGATTTAAAATACTTACTGATAAAGATAAAAAACCACTTCAATATGGGTTGTACTTCAATGTAAAGAAAACAAAAGTCCTCACCACTAGACCAGTAAATAACATCCGAATCAATGGAGAAAAGATTGAAGTTGTCAGACTTCATTTTGCTCGGCTCAACCATCAACACTCATGGAAGCAGCAGTCAAGAAATCAAATGATGTATTGCATTAAGCAAATCTGCTGCACAAGACCTCTTTAAAGCGTTGAAGAGCAAAGATGTCAGTTTGAGGACTAAGATGCGCCTGACCCAAGCCATGGTATTTTCAATAACCTCACATGCATACGAAAGTTGGACAGTGAATAAGGAAGGACCGTAGAAAAATTGATATATCTGAGTTATGGTGTTGGAAGAAAATACTGAAAGTACCGCACACTGTGAAAAGAACCAACAGATCTGTGTTGGAAGAAGTGCAGCCAGAGTGCTCCTTGGAAGCCAGGATGGCCAGACTTGTCTCTCATACTTCAGAGAGTATGTTGTCAGGAGGGACCAGTTTCTGAATTAAGGATCTCATGTTTGGTAAAGTGGAGGGTCGGAGAAGGATAGGAAGACCCCACACGAGATGGATTGGCACAGTGGCAGCTGCAATGGGCTCAGGCTTAGCAAAGATTGTGAGGCAGTGTTATGAGTCAGTACTGATTCAATGACACCCAACAACAACAACATTTCCACCAGTGGAGTCATTGGGTGGTGCAAACAGCTGAGTGCTGGACTACTAACTTAAAGGTTGGTGGTTCAAACCCAGTGGTACCACAGAAGAAAGACCTGGTGATGTACTTTTGTAAAGATTACAGTCACCAACAGGCTATGGACTAGTTCTGCTCTGTAGCACATGAGGTCTCCACAAGTCAGAATGGACTCAAGGGCAATGAGTTACTAACTGAAAGACTGGTGGTTCGAGTCCACCCAGAGACCATTAGGAAGAAGGGTCTGATGATTTACTTCTGAAAAGTCAGGCATTGAAAAACATGGAGCTCAATTCTTCTCTGAAACACATGAAGTAGCTCTGAGAATTGGCACCATGGCAACTGGATCCCACCTGATCGGTGATTTTACATGCAGTTTGTTTTGTTTCTACACTATACCCATGAGAACGGCACTTAACAACGACAACTGTGATGCCGCAGGATAAGCACTAGACTGCTAAATGTAAGTTCATCCGTTCAAACCCAGCAGCTGCTCCTCACAAACCCTATGCAGGGTCTCTATTGGAGTTGGAACTGACTTGACGGCACTTAACAACGACAACCTTTTGCAGATGAGGACTCGTCTTCCCAGCAGGACGTGACTTCTCACCCTTATTAGGGAAGTAGGAAGTTACGGTTCAGGATCAGTCATCATGCAGAATACAGTTCTTCAGTGAAGCCAGCTGCTTCTCCGTCATGCCTGTAGGCAAACCGTGCTCTGTTCCTCTTGCTGCGTTCTCTTCTCCTGAACTAGGCGACAGGCCTGAGTCAGTCTCCCAGCTGACCCCTTCTGCACCCAGGATCACGGCCGCCAAAAAGGAGGTCTCAGGAAAAAATGGGCTCTACTGAATCCAATATAAACATAAAGTTTGCCCCTCCTAGTCCTCTTCACGTTCTAGCCAGCCCTCTAATTCTCTCTGTCTAGTGAAAGAACTTCACAAATATCCAGCCTTGAGTCACCAGGTCACCACACCCAGTAGAGCCAAGTCATGGGGGATTTCACAGTGCTGATTTCCTGGAAACTGGCAGCATGTTAGAATAGAAGTTTCGGTTTGGGAATCAGATCACCTGGGTGCCAATATCCATTGTCTGAGGTAAATGATTTTGGTTTTCTAAAGCTTAAACTTAAAACCCATTGCTGTTGATTGTGACTCAAAGTGATCTCACTGGACAAAGCAGAATTGCTCCTGGGGTTTTGGAGGCTGTAAATCATTACCAAGATTTCTGGTGTGACCCTATAGAATCAGCACCAGACTGCTAACCACAAGGTCAGTGTTTTAAACCCACCAGCTGCTCCTCAGAAACTCTATACAGGGTCCCTGTGAGTCGCAATAGGACTTAACAACAGCAGCAAACCTTTCTGGAACACCCTGCCTCATCAGCCCCCTCGGAGCTGACCTTTTGGTTACCATTGTACCACCAGGGTTTCCTCAGCTGTACCTCTAAGCTTTGTTGTGAGAATTAATGATGTTATAAACAAATCTTAATTTCCTGCACCCCTTCATTCTTCTTTGATTCCTCCCCCAAATAACAACAATAAAAAGCCAGTAACAAAACAAGAAAGCCAGAACACCACCACTACCACCATCAAACCCATATGGAAGAAAACAAGTTGAGTAAAGGATCCTGGAAGGATAGGAACCTGCTGGACAAGAATTCCTTGTCTAGAATTTCAGTCCTGCTTTCTCTAAGTTATATGACCGTCTATTAAACGCACATGATGACATTTGTCAGAGTGTGTAAGGATTGTTGTTGTTGTTGTAAGAAGAACCCTGTTGGCACAATGGTTAAATGCTTGACTACCCACTGAAAGGTTGGTGGTTTGAGTTTACCAGCTGCTCTGGGGGTGGGGGTGGGGCGTAAATGTGGTAGCTTACTTCCCTAAAGAATACATTCTTGGAAACTGTGTGGGGCCAGTTCTACTCTCTCCTCTAGGGTCACTATGAATTTTGTGTGCTGTAGAGTCAATTACAACTCAATGTATAGAAAACAAAAATCCTCACCACTGGACCAATAAACAGCATTCTTATCAATGGAGAAGAGATTGAGGTTGTCAAGGACTTCATTTTTCTTGGATCAACAATCAACACTCGCGGAAGCAGCAGTCAAGAGATCAGACGACATATTGCATTGGGCAAATCTGCTGCACAGGAACTTTTTAAAGTATTGAAGAGCAGAGATGTCAGCTTGAGGACTAAGGTGTGCCTGACCCAAGCCATGGTATTTTCAATAACCTCATATGGATGCGAAAGCTGGACAGTGAATAAGGAAGATCGTAGAAGAATTGATGCCTTTGAGTTGTGGTGTTGGAGGAGAATACTGAAAGTGCCATGGACTGCCAAAAGAACCAATAGATCTGTTTTGGAAGAAGTGCAATCAGAGTGCTCCTTAGAGGCCAAGATGGCTAAGCTTCCTCTCTCATACTTTGGACACATTGTCCGGAGAGAACAGTCGCTGGAGAATGATGTCATGCTGGGTAAGGTGGAGGGTCAGAGAAAAAGAGGAAGACCCCCAACGAGATGGATCAGCCAGGTGACATCATTGATGGCGTCAAGTGTGGCGGCGGTAGTGAGGTTGGCCCAGGATCGGACATTGTTTCGTTCTGCTGTGCATTGGGTCGCTATGAGTCGGTTCTTACTCAATGGCACCTGACAACAATGAAGTGTGAAAAAAACACCAGAACAATGGGAAATTAATTTGCTTAACAAACTTTCACTTAAAGTACAAGTAAAAAAGATTTTTAAATATTTAAGAAAACCGCATCTGGTAGTGAGGATGCACTGAAACCCCGTGCGTCCGCCGCAGAGGCCTGGGCCCCGCAACCACCTCTCGGAAATTGTCAGGTTCCTCTCGCTGCTGGTGTCCCTTTGGTCAGCCAGTTTGCGCGCTGGACCTCGGGGCCGGATTGTTGCCGCCCCCTCACCTCTGCCCTCCCACCCACAGGCCTGCCTGTGCCCCACGTGACTTCCTGAGAGGTTGCGGCACCGCCCAGCCCCTCCCCCTCCCCCTATCACTTTCGTTTCCTCAGTCCCGGGACAACTGCAGTCGCCTCAGCTGGTCGTCGTAACCTGTCCTGTCTCGTTCCCCCAGGAGCACCATGGCGGAGCTGACACCACTGGCCGAGGAGCTGTCGTGCTCCATCTGCCTGGAACCCTTCAAGGTACCAGTGACCACGCCGTGCGGCCACAACTTCTGCTCTCTGTGCCTGGACGAGACATGGGCCGTCCAGGGTGCACCGTATGGGTGCCCACAGTGCCGAGCAGTCTACCAGACGCGGCCGCAACTGAACAAGAACACAGTGCTGTGTGCCGTGGTGGAACAGTTCCTGAGCATCGAGCTAGCCCGGGAGGTAGCCCCCGACGACTGGACGCCGCCCACCCGCCCTGAGGCTTCTAGCCTGACCGGTCAGGTGGCCTGCGACCACTGCCTGAAGGCGGCCGCCACCAAGACATGCCTCGTGTGCATGGCCTCTTTCTGCCAGGAGCACCTGCGGCCTCACTTCGACAGCCCCGTTTTCCGGGACCACTCATTGCAGCCACCCATCCGCGACCTGATGCGTCGCAAGTGTTCCCAGCACAACCGGCTTCGAGAGTTCTTCTGTCCGGAGCACGGGGAGTGCATCTGCCACATCTGCGTGGTGGATCACAAGGCCTGCTCGCCGGCCCCGCTGAACCAGGCCAGCACCGAGATGGAGGTAGGGGGGCGGGGAGATAGGGTTGCAGAGGACAGACAGGGTGGTTGCCCTGGGGATTTGGGTGCTGGGCCACAAGGGGACCCAGGCGGTCACAATAGAAAGGAGCTGGGGATCATACAGATCTCCACCATAGATACCCGTCCCTCTAATACACACCCATTTTACAGAGGGAACAATTGAAGACACAGCTGAGGTGGTTTGCCTTAAGCCTTGTGTGCGAGTGGTTTTGAACCGCTAACTTTGAGGTTTGAAGTCCAATGCAGAAGCATACCAAATCTCATTAAAGCCTTTTATTGTCTTTTCAACAGAGACACTTAGTTAAAAGTCCTCCTATTGAATTAACTGTACAACTCTCATTTTACTTTGATGTAATGTTTTTTTGAATGTCCAGTATGAACCCTGGAGGTTACTTTCACTAAGTCCTGGGAGCTCCCAGGAGATGGGTATTATTATTATCATTTTATAGTAGAGGACACTGAGGTCCAGAGTGGCTAATTTATTTATTTATTTATTTTTGAGAGAGGCTAATTTAGCTTGAGATAGTGTAGTAAGGATAGCGGGCATTGAGGCCCAAGTTGGTTTGATTCTACAGAGTGCACCTTTTATCCACGATCATCCTCATAGCTATCCGCAGGGAGTACGAGACATTTCCAGAGACTTGGGATCATGGAAGCAAAAGTTTCTGGTGACCTGGAGAGTTATGTTGACCAGGAAAGGTTGTTGATAGAGAATGGAGAGGGTGTGTAGAGCCCCAAGCCTCCCTGGTATCAGTGACCCACTGGGAGAGCCAGCACTGTTACAACATACTACCCGCCTCTGGCCTGGGGTCTCATCAATGAAAGGAGGAGGTGATACCAGGCAGATTCCTAAGAGTCCTTGGTCTGTGATCATAGTGATTTGGAAGAATCACAGCGTTCTTCTGTGGGCTCTAGGCAGAAGCTGAAAGATGTAATCAGACCACCTTGGACAACACTCGAGGTTCCAAAGAAGGGCCTCATTTCATTGCATGCTCACATCACTGTGTGAACTAGAAGAACAAAGGCTCTTCTGGTTTTGTTAAAGGAGACGTGAGCCCTGGATGACGTCAGGGAATTTAGCAGTGGTCCTGCGTGCAGATTACAGGTCTCCCCATTCAGGATGCAGTCCTTTCTTGGCCTTATTTGCTGCTCCTAGTCAGAGCTGGGTGTTCAGAGAGACCTGGGTTTGAATCCTAGCTCGGTGTCCTAGCTGGGGAATCCTAAAAAAGAGTTAATATCAGGAGATTCCACCACTTGCCTATTAGGCTGTCTTATAGTGATGACTTTTGTGTTGCTGTGTGATGCTAGAAGCTTGTTGCTGTTGGGTACTACCAAGTCGACTTAGACTCATAGTGACCCCATGTGACAGACTAGAACGGTCTCATATGTTTTCTTGGCTATCATCTTTATGGAAGTAGATTACCAGGTATTTCTCTTTTGGAGTAGCTGGGTGGGTTTGAACCATCAACATTTTAGTTGGTAGCTGAGTGCATAATCATTTGCACCACCAAGTTCCTCTGCTGAAAGCTAGGCCACCAATATTTCAAATGTCAGCAGAACTTCCAGACTAAGACAGACTAGGAAGAAAATCCTGGCAATTTACTCCTGAAAATTAGCCTGTGAGAATCCTATGGAGCACCACAGAATGTTGTTAAAGCCCCCTAGGTTGGCGGGTGCTCAAAATACACAGTGGCTGTACTGGACTTAAGGACATACATCAATGATTGGGAAGATGGAACAGAACGGAAGAACATCTTGTTCTGTTGTATGTGGGGGCGGAACAAGTCAGAGCTGATGCCTTGGCAGCTAACAACAATAACAACATCAGGAAGTTATCATGAAGATTAATTAAGATATTATATAGATTGGTAGACAGGGTGAGCTCCCTAGGAGCTGCTGTTACCCTTCTAGTTACTCAGGTCTGGGTAGAGGAGAGCTTGCTGGGTTGGTAGTACCCTCAGGCAGTTCCAAGGGACACAGGCTTCCCGGATCTTCTTTGCCTCAGAATGCACATTCCCCGGTGAGAACTAGGGTAGCCTGGCTCCCGTAGAGTTCCTTCTAGAAGTTCCTATTTGTAAAGCCAAGTAGAAGCAGCCACAGAGCTGAAGCCCCGCCCAGCTTATTTGTGTCCCATACACACTTGTTGTTGTTTTTTTTTAAGTGTTTTATTGTGAATTGTATGATAGTTTACATGGGACAACATTAGTTTTACATTCATTCTATCGTACATTGTATCATTGCCATGGTTACAATCCCCTCCATGCATCATCAACCGACCAAAGGGTATACCCTGCAAGCCTGCCCCCTACACTATCTCCCCCCTGCCCCCCCAGTCTTCAGCACACAGTCCCTCTCCCTCTCTGGATCTAAAGTCCCCAGCCGCTCCATCGCTCCAAGTCATTGTCTCTGCCTCCACCTCAGGCATCACTGCTTCTCTGGGTAAGGTCCCGCTCTCGGCTCTTCTCCGATGATGGTCCTAGGGACCTCCGCTCCTAGACTGAAAAGTTATTCCCTCCCTTCCTTGCTATAAAATGTCTACCTTTACATTTCCAACCCTTACAATCAGTCCTGATAACAATTATTCACTATTGTATCACAAGAGACCCATCTGCATTTCATTTCATCAACTCCGCCTAGGCAGATTGGATACTACTCACTGGAGATTCTGCCTTCCTCCAGGTCCCCTGGCTCTAGGTTCCCTCTTGAAAGCTTATAAGCCAGTCACTTCTTGCCTTTGTAGCCCCCCCCCCTCCGCCCCCATTTTGGGTAGTCAATGTCCAAGTTTCCCATCCCTGTGTACTCTGCCATACATACTTGTTTTTGTGTTGTTGTTTTTTTTAAATCCCCAAACAGGCTTTCCCAGCCTGCCGCACCCCTGACCCCATTGTCCTGGCAAAGGTACCATGGAGTCCGATGTGACCCATAGCCCGCCTGTGTACAATGGAATGAAATACTGCCCGACCCTGCACCACAGCCATTGCTCCCTCTAAGCCCATTATGCCGTCGCCACTTGTCAACCCATCCTGTTGAGGCTTTTTTTCTCAGACCCTCTGCTTGCCAGTCAAGCCTGGTGCCTCCCATGCGCTCCCCAGGTATTAGTCTGTGAAGATCCCTTACCCTGAAGAACTTCAAAAAGTTTTCTCACTCTACTTTAAACCCAGAGAGGGAGAGGGGCTGTGTGCTAATGACTGGAGGGCAGGCTTGCAGGGTGTACCCTCTGGTTGCTTGATGATGCATGGAGGGGATTGTAACCATGGCAATGAAATGATATACAATAGGATGAATGTAAAACTAATGTTCTCCCATGTAAACTATCACATAATTCACAATAAAACATTAAAAAAAAAAAAATTCTCCCTTTGATTACTACTGTTGAAGCTAGTTAGAGCTCTCAGGCCATTTTGTTTTCGATTGGAGTCTCAAAGGGACCTGCCCACACTCAGAGGACTCAAATGTATTTGGTTAACGACAGATAAAATCTTTCAAAATGCAGGATTCAAAGAAAGGTACAGTTCTAAAAGTGCCCTTGGAAGTCAAACAATTGGCAGCCCTGGACCTTTTGAGGTCTCTTCCAGTTTTGAGGGCTGAGCCTGGCCTTGTGTCTTTGGCCCACACCTTATCTCAGGCACTGTTGGAGATCAGGTCAAAAGGGCATCATCACAGAGTTGGAGTCTGAAACATTGTCAGTGGCTTGGAATTTCCAGGTCCAGTTAGGGCTCCTGTTTCCAGTCCTTACATGTGACTATCACTAGGCTGTTCAAATCAGGTTCCGTGTCATCATGTGCAGCTCTGAATATTCTGGGTGTAGTGGGAGAGGCAGGGATATGGAAGGGACAGGGTATGTTGAGCCAACTGATTAGGGGAAGTACATTTTTTTCCCCTAGAGGTTTCCAGTGTTCACAATGTGGACTTGTGTCTGTAATTGTGACACCAGATTCTTAGCTGTACCAGCTAATAATAATGTGACCTGGGGCAAGTCACTTAAGTGCTCTTTGCCTCAGTGTTCTCATCTGTAAAATGGAGATAATAATAGTTCTTCCTGCTTCTGGGTGTTCTTCGATTTAAATAGTTTAACACAAGTAAAGCACTTAGAAAGTACTTAGCTTATGTTGCTATTGTTGTGTGCTGTAGAGTCAATTCTGACTTATAGAAACCCTATATGACAGAGTAGATTTCCCCCCTTAACATTTCCTAGTCTTGGTATGGTGCTGCAGGTTAATTCCCTGGACTGCAAGGTCTGTTTGAACCTTAAGATTGGCAGTTCAAGCTCTCTAGCCGCTCCCTGGAAACTCATACAGGGTCTCTATGAGTCAGAACTGACTTAACAGCACTTAATAATAACAACAACAATCTTTATAGAACCAGATTATCAGGTCTTTTCTCCATCAAAGCCGTTAGTGGGTTCAAACCACTGACCTTTTCATTAGCAGCCAAAGTGCTTAACTCTGCACCACCAGGATATGTTGTATGCCATCGAGTTGATTTTGACTTATGCCTCCCACACAGGGCAGAGTTGTGGTTATGTGCCGTGGAGTCGGTTCCGACTCACAGTGACCCTGCACAGGGTTTCCGAGGCTGTAAATCTTTATGGGAGCAGAACGCCTCATCTTTTTCCCGCGGAGCGGCTGGTAGTTTCGAACTGCTGACCTTGTGGTTCACAGCCTGATTCGTAACCACTACGCTACCAGAGCTCCTTACAGGACAGAGTAGCACAGTCCTATAAGGTGTCGTAGGCTATAAGCTTGCTTTTTCTGCACCTCTGTTAGCCTTCCTAAGCCTTAGTGATATTGTGCAAATCATCTGCTACTTGTCTTTCACTTCACCCAAATTAATACATGTCTAGCTCTGTAGGTTAAAGGAGCTCTGGTAGCATAGTGGTTATGAGTCGGCCTGCTAATCTCAAGGTCAGCAATTTGAAACTACCAGCGGTTCCTTGAAAGATAAAGATGAGGCTTTCTGCTCCAGCCAAGATTTACAGGCTTG